CCAGTGCTCTACAGTATAATCTTGTTGTTTATCTGTTTTATATGTATTAGTTAGTATAGAGTTTTAAAACCATAATTCATAGTAGGAAGTGAAGTTTGCATTCATTTTTGAAGAATTGCTGATTGCTACTTCATTAACTTCATCACTTACCAATGGATCATGACCCCAAGTCTGGAAAGCAACACTTTAATGTGTAAGAGCAAAGATTGCATTCATAGCTTCAGCATAAAGAGAGTAAGCTGGCTTTGTGCAGTATTATCGGGTCCTTTTTGCTCTGTGCAAGTCTCCCCAAGATCTGTTATGTTAAGGCAACCACTGTTTGATTTATTCAGCCTTCTGAGTTAGCATTTTAGGCCGGGCTCAACTGGAGCAGCTTTCTCTACACCACATGGTGTAACTGGCTCTCTTGTGGGTTTGTGGTCCGTGACCTCACTCACATCTGGCTGTCAGCAGAGGGAGAAATAGTGAGCTGGTCATGTGTAGCACATCCTCCAGCGGGTTAGCCCAGGCTCAGTCACCTGCTGATGGCCTCAGGGCCTCAGCAAGAGAGGGCAGGCCCCAGTAGGCAAGCATTTTTTAAGTCTCTGCTTGCCATGTAGGTTTTTTTTGTCCTCAATAGGACAAAGCAGGCTATGTGGACAAGCCCAAGGTCAGTATGGAAGGGAACTGCCCAAGAAGGTGGACACAGAAAGGAGGTTTATTGGGCTTATTTTTACAAATAATCTACCACAGGCAGAGTGGAAGCCTTAATGGGTACTGTGCAGATTCGTTTTCATTCTTCCTTGTTAGGTTTTCTTAGCAGTATATGTTTTCATTTTGGATTAGAATATCTGTGTAATGTTTCAGTTATAAGGGGCACAACTTTTGTTGCACTGAGCATTTTTAGTTTTATTTAGATCACAGAGTAGGAGTAAACGTCAAACTTAATTTTCCATAATTTATAAAAACGCTAAATCAAAAGTGACAGTTACTTTCACTAATTATTTTGACAGTTTTTTTTAACTGCGTTACCTGTTTTAACAAATATCAAAATTATTCAGTAGATATTTTTAAATACAGGAGAAACTCTCTCCACGTGGCTTTTGAATGTCTTAAGAGTTCTGCTGTCTTTCTTTGTAGTTATTCATTCATTGTTGGGTATCTGCTCTGTTATTTCCAGTATGGACCATGCATTTCATGCCAATACTTGGAAATTTATAATTAAGTAAGTTTTTGTTTTGTTTTTACTTTTTGTAATATATTTTCCATATCTAAAATCTTAATAAGTTTTCTTAGATTTCATTTAAAGAATTTTGTATGGGTATGTGTAATGTTTACTGACACTGCTGTCTAATGATCCAGATTTTGTACATGTAGCTCCCAAACTAAATTGGGCTTTACCCTGCTGCCTCTAAAATTAAAAAAAAGTTCTACCTGGCTATCTAGTACTTCTGAAATAATGGGCCTTGTGGCTTAACCACTTGCCTGCTGCCACTGTTGTTTTAACTGACTGTCAAGTATCCTATTTCCAGGCTTAGATAAATTAACAATTACAATTAGAGCTGAATATAATCCCTTCATTATATACTTTTGAGTTGTTCAAGTTTAATTTCATTTATAAAGTAATTTTAACTGGAGTGTTGGAAGGGTTAGTGGGTTACTATGGGTACCAGGAAGAGCACCCATAGCATTCATCACATTCTTGGGGGTGGGAGGAGATAGAATTGAGATCTAAAAATGAGTAAGAACCTCTACTTTATACACATGCATGAAACATTCAAGGCCAGTGTAATACTTTCAGGTCTTAGGTGCTTTTCTTGAACCACCAGGTCATTAAGTTATCAACAGGTAATAGGGCAGTGATTGAAAGTGTCAACTCAGAGCCATAGTGCATATGCTTGAACCCATTCTGAAATCACTTATTCCTCCTGAACCCTTGGGCGGTTTGGTTAACTTCTCTGAGCCTTAGTTTGTTTACAGGAGTTGTAACAGTAGCACCTGCTTGATGGGGTTATAGTGAGAATTACTCGAGTTTATCATGTGAAATGCTTGGAACTGCAAGGCACACGGTGAATGGTCAGTGCATTAGCTACATCACCGTCACCGTCACCATCAAATATCTTCCACTCTTGCTCCCTTCCCATTCACTTTTTATCTAGCATTCAGACTGAATTTCTAAAAACGTGAATCAGAGCATGTCACCCTACTGCTTAAAATCCACCCCACTTAACTAAGAGTAACAACCTAGTCCTCTCGGGCTCGTGGCTTCTTCACAGCTCATCTCCGCTGCTCTCTCCCTGCTCTTAGTTCGTCAAGCATGCCAGACTCTCCTGTCCCAGAGCCTCTTCACAGCTTTTCAGTCTGCCCAGGATGCTTCTCTCCTGTGCCCTGCACCTCGCTGACCCCTGCCTATCCTTCAGTTCTCAGTTTAAGTGTTCCCCCTTTCTGGTAGCCTTCTGTGTATCTTCACCCTGACAAACATCTCTCTTGACTGTAGCGCTCTGGACTTTTTATTTTAGCATTTATCACAACTATAATTCATTATTCTTACATTATTTAGTGTTCTCTCTTGTGCTA